GTCGTAAAAAAATTGGTCTTTGGGTGGACATGTATGGCAGATGTCCACTTCTAGTCCGTGTTGAGTCTGCCTCAGGTACATGCAGGCTGAAGTACGCCCGAGTGTGTGTGGACCTTTAGACGAAGTACAGTAAAAACCATTTGCCCATTTGTCATCCTCACAAACTCAGTGACTATAAAGGGAAACTAGAGAGGTGGAAACCTGGACACCTGACCCATGAAGGAGCTACAAGCTTAAGCACCTCATATGGCAGAGACTAGCTGATATTCCAGTTAATATTATTTTCAGAATCAATGAACACAATATATTTATTCAAAAAATGTTTCTTAATGTTCCCCAGTAACAGTCAGATAACATAAATACCAAATATATATTTGTAACTTTCTCTTAATACCCCTCCTGTTGTCCTCGGGTCATTTTGCCCCGAGGACAACAGGAGGGTAAGGACCATTTTACTTTATTTCTAATTGAATATGTGGTTAAAGCTAAAAAATAACTCACTGGACACCACACTAAAAATATTAAAACATTTTTTGATGAAAAAGGAAGCCTGTGAGGGGAGAAATGCTTCATCATAGTCCTGTAACCATTGCCTGTGGTTTACAAAACCGTTGTTGTGCAATTAATAGTTTAATACATTTTGCATTTGCTGCATCTTAATGCAACTAATGTTTATCTGCCAACACTAAAACGTCTTAAAGTTATCGTGACGTTGCTGGTGTGGGTTTCTGGTGTTTCTCTCCAGTGGGCATTGGGGATTAGGCAGGTAGACCCTGGAAAGGTCACCAGTCCATCACAGGACAACACAAACACACAGGAAATAAAATCATCCACATTCATAGACACACAGGGGCAGTTTAGAGCAGGGGTGTCAAACTCCAGTCCTGCAGGTTTTAGGTGCGCCACAGGTACAAATCACTGGAATGAAATAGCTTAATTACCTCCTCATTGTGTAGATCAGTTCTCCAGAGACCTGATTATTCTGTTCAGGTGGTGCAGCAGAGGCACATCTAAAAGTTGCAGGGCAGTGGTTTAGAGTGACCTTTTGACCTAACATTCATATCTAGACGGTCAGAGGAAGCCGGGATACCCAGAGAGAACAAACCAATCTAATTAACTACTCTACTGTGCTGCCAAGGAAATAACGTAAAAAGGTTTTAAATACAATAAAAACATATCCCACTGGTAAAATGTAGTTTAACCCTTTTGTCCAGAAATGGGCTCCAACTGACCCCACACACGTAAAACTTGTATCATTTTCCACAGTCCTCTGTTTGCCTCAGTCCTCGCTTCCGCAAGGGTTAAATTATCCTAATCTGATAAAAAAAATTGAGTCTTAGGTTAAAAAACATGCCTAAGATAAAATCAGAATATAAATGAAGAACTGTCATTTTGTGTTGCTTCACCTTCTCAGGGTTACAAACTGCCAAGTCATCCTTACTAAGGTCTACACTATGTGGGATCTAAACATGCATATTCAAAAGTTCGTGAGTCCAGTTGTGCCCAAAGTCGGTCCTGAAGGGCCAACATCCTGCATGTTTTAGTTCCCTACCTGGTGAAAATAACAACCTTTTAAGCTCTTGCCTTACACCTTTTAATGAGCCATCATTTGATCCAGGTGTGTTAAACCAGGGAGAGAACAAAAAATGCAGGATGCCGGTCCTCCAGGATGTAAAATGTTCTTTGCTACAATGTGATATTCATATTGTAATAACTAGTGCATTATAGTGTTAAACAGAACAACATGAAAACAGAATAAGCCACACACCATCTTGTTTTGATTGCTCAACATTTTATTCTTGCTAAGCCAAAGAACAGAAAAAAGTTTTGCTAAGATGATCCATTATTATAACTCATTCAGTCTGATCTTATTACAGAGAGACAATCCAGCTGCTGTTTGCTTGTCGCTTCATTCCTTAGGTTGCATTAAAGACAGAAATGATATGAAGTGAAGAAGCAGAAATATCTTTTGGGTTTTCTATGAAGGTGCAAAATGGCAGGTAAACAGAAACTCCTAGCATTCATCCTCCACTGGTTCTGTTTTACACATCAGGCCTCTTTGGGAACCTCAACGTCTTCTGAGTCTCTTGGCGCAGACAAAAGGCCGACTGTGATTACACCACAAGTCATCCCAGCACTTTCCACCTAAAAGCAAGAGAGTAAATATGAGTCG